CACCTATACACATGAGATGTCATCACTGACCTATATTACTACTTGCCTATTTCTTAAACACTCTCTATCCCCCCTTTATTTCCCTCCATCTGCCTCTCGTGGTAAATCCCTCTCCCTCCTCCTGTCCTTGAGCTGATGTGGGATGCTGCACTTCGTATTCATGCTTTTGTTTTTTGGTGCGCGCCTGTGGGAGTGTGCAGAGTTGTTAAGATGCTTTTAGCCATCGATGTTTAGGTCTTTGCTGCAAAATGTTCACGAAAACGTCAAACGTGAAAGCCGACTCATCTGCTCTTCTTTCTCTCTCGTTCTCTGCAGCCTGCCAGGACCACCTGAGACTAGTGGTGAGTTTGCTCTCCTTCCCACCTTTTCTTCCCCTTTCTCTTGGGAATTGCAGTGATGGGGACAGACGTTTGATGCTGGTCCACCTCATCGATACCATGTCGCAGAGTTACAGAGTTTTATGGTTGAGAAATACTCGCATTGTTGAGATCTGACCATTTGCTTTATTGCCTTGTGAATAATAGTCTGATGCACCACACATAAGGTTAGACCAGATCTGCAATAATGATGTTGGTCCTAATTCATTCTTTTTTCTTGCAAGTCGGTGGTGTGTACAGTAATCTGTAGGCAAAGGTCAAGAGTTTTTTCACCAGTTGTCGTTTGTAGTCTGAGTAACCACAAGTCTTTGTTATTGTTTTTTTAAATCTGCATTCATAGTTAGATTATAAGAGGACAATTATCAGTTATCTATATGCACTAAAGGCTCCAGGACAGTGGCTTTTACCCCCACAGGCTTAAGCGGAGTATACACAGGAAGGCTTTAGCAGGATTGTGCTGATAACTGACCATCTCAATGAAACCTCATAGACTTGCAGTGATTACAAGCAAAACAAGCCTGGATTGAGCACTATAGCGATCCACTGTCAGCTACAAAGTGATGGGAGCAGCAGTGGAGCTTCTAATGGCAGCTTTCCCAGATCAGTTTGCTTGTGCCTAACTTAGAACTAGCTTAGCTCTTATACATTTTGCTGTGAGACTGGATCTTATTCTCATCCTTTTAATAGTTTATCACAAACTGTATGATGTAGCCTAACACACACCGCTCTGTTAACTGCACATCTGTTCAGTACCATTGATTCTGCATTTGCATGTTCCAGTTTAACTGGGTTTCATACTAACTGGTTGTGTTTGTCACCGTTTCAACTCAGTGTAGCAAACTCCAGATATTTCCCCTCAGTTTTTGAATGGATCGATAAGCAAATAATAAATATCGCCTCAGTGTAAAAAATAATTATCAAAGCCTCAAAATGAGGACTCGCAGATGTCAACAAATCCCTACAGGAAAATTGCAAAAGAAAGAGCAAGCTTGAGGCACAGAAGTAATCTGCATGTAAAACACCAGGACACAACCATGATGTAAAGCACAGAGCACAGAGATGAACGCTGGCAACGGCTTTGACCACTTAGGCTCAAGCAGAAATCAGCCATGAGACACAAATGACGCATAAAAATCTGCAGCTTTAGCTCTGTGAGATATTCAGTGACTCCACACTTACATTTTACCATTCATTGTATAGAAAACGCACACACACCATACACAAGCAGCAGTGAGGGACTTTCTGCACTTTTTGCACAAAAGCACTCAGTTCCACGCGTGTCAATGAATGGCCAAATAGCGTGAAGCGTTGGAGGGCTAATGCAATGCATTCTGGGTAACAGCCACTATGATGCCTCATTAGTTGTATCCCGCAGCGACCCAACCGAGTGATGAATGGGTGCTGTGTGGGGGTCTGTGCTTGTATGCATGTGTGCGTCTTTGGATCACGTTGCTCTTGTTGTGTGTGTGTGTGTGTGTGTGTGTGT